TGCAGCTATGTATCTATGAGGTCTGCATGCTTATGAGTCCCTGGGATTCTGCCCATACTTGTCACATGACTGACACCGTTTTATTTTCTCATGCATCTTTAAGTCTTTCATTTCTTAGAGTAATTTGAATGAGTTTTTGCTCTTATAGTCAAAGATGTTTGTATGAGTCCCACACAAGATGTTGGAGTGTTTTCCCTTTACGAGCTGTTAAACGTCAGATCACCCATCTAATAGCCAACACAGAAGTTCACATATTCAGGGGTGATCTTGTCATTATTTAGAATCTTAAGAAAGGAATTGTAAGCAAATCCTATCACCCTTTGGCTGTTTTTAAAATGTTCTTGTTGCATTTTTTTTACTTGTAGGCCACTGCCATAAGCAGATGACAACAATCTCCTCTCAGGTAGACTGTAAAGGGTTTCTCCTCAGTGAGTCAAGAATGAAATCCAGCATCCTGTGGGAAGCTTATTCTCTACCTTCTTGTGGTGCTGAAAGTTTTTCCATCCCATATTATCAACCCCACCCCCATCTGGACTGATTTCAAGGCACAGACCAAGTTTTATATTGGCAAAATATGATTTTATTGGGTCCCTATAAAATAAAATGCTCCCAAAGCACCTCCAACACTGGGAAAAAGTCAGGTCATAACAGAAATTAAGAGTCAGCCCCTCAGAATCCCTGCAACTTCTCCAATCCTAATTGCTTTTCCTTTATCCATACTCATCTGTCCAGCTGTCAGTGACTCCAAATTCTCAATCAAATTGTGGAAATGTGGGGCAGGGGGGATGTGCTGGTTGGCACAATGGCTTGATTAGAGTATAAGGGCATTCAATGACCAGGGGTGCTCAATGTCCTATGAGGAACAGGAAAATGTTACATAATGATAAATTATTCTAATAAAATGCTACTGACATTCCGTTGACAGACAAAGGCACCCTCCAATATTTGGGGCAGACAAAAGCAGGAGATAAAGGCAAACTGAAGACAGGAGGGCAGCAAGAAAACAGGGAATGCACCCCATCAGAAGTGAATCAGTTGAGCAGACACTGTCCACAGATCAATCTCAGGCTCCATCTCTTGCCTTCCCCCACCTCCAGCAATATTCTTGACACAAAAATTCCTTATTTTCATTCCCTTGACTACACAAGGCAATCTTGGGTTCAGTCAGATTTAACTTTTAAAAATTGTGCCATTTTCCTACATCTTTTTACTTGTTCAATTACGATAATTTGTGAGCAAATAATCTTAATAGCCACAGAAAATCAACTGAAAATTCATCCGTGTTGCTAATGGACTTAATAAATTTGTACTATTCATGTGTCTGTTGAAAAAATAGCTTTAAAGACTAATTCTTTAGGCGAGAACACCACTGAAGTTCAGTTTGTGAATTAACACCCTTTTCTGAATCCCTTCATTGAGGCATGCTGGGTATTGGAAGAAAGGTAGTTGAAAAATATCTTGCTACCTCTCCCAGTTCTTTGTTAAGTCCTAGGCAATATCAAAAGAGAATTCCTGTACAAACAAGTCTTACTACAGAGGGTCAGGGCATGGAGAGACCAAACGGAAAGAGACAGCTCGTTAGTCTCAGATTAAAGGACAAATATTTTAAAGGCAGTATGCCTGATTATGTCAGGGAGACAGGCAGGCCCATGATACTTTCTGTACCAGATGCTGCAGCAAAGGTAAAACGTTCAGCAAGATACACTCACATCCTGAGGATGAAGAAGTCCAAAACATAATTCTGTTTTAAATGCATGGACAAACACTATAAATGTGGGTTTCTTTCAAGTAGGGTCCTTACATAGTAAAGCAGTGAGACTTCCTATGAGAGAGATATTCCATCCTTACAGTCCAATATGGTAGCCTCCAACCACATGTAGATCACAGGGCACTTGGAATGTGGTCAGAAAAATTGAACAGAATTTCTGATTTTAATTAATTTAAATAAAAATAGACATGCAGCTAGAGGCTACTGTATTTGGACAAAGGTTTAAACCATTGTCTGGGAACAAGATCCAAGAAGTCATTACAAGAAAATTTTATATCCTTGTGACCACTTGGAAAACTACTTTCTTAATGTTTTTCCAACCACACACACTTACTATCATATCAGAAACCATAACAGAAATGTGATTCCCTAACTTCATTGTCGATCAAAATCACTTAGAGGTCTTGCTTAAACAGATTAATTAGGTCCATTCCCAGAGACTCTAATTTATGAGGGACCGTACATTTCAAACAACTATGTCAGTGATTCTGATATTGCAGGACCACATTCTGACAAACACTAGAACAAAATTTAAACACCAGCCTACCTCTATTAAAGAAAAGATTCTTTTACTTGTCACTTTTCAGCTATGGTGAAGTGGTCTTTCTTGTATAAGGAATCTGTCTCAAATGTTCATACAAGTGTTGTTTAAAACCCACCAAATAAATATAAAACAATATAAACAACTCTGTTATAGATGGCTTTTCCACACATTAGAACCAAGTAGCATATAACGTGTGTGTGCCTAATAATTTCAGGGACTATAAACACAGCAAGGCTGATGCCAGATCTGACCAGATAGTTTAATCCCTGAAATGACCCTGTCTTAGGACTCAAATCGAAACTTTCTACTACAATAATGTAATTACTTCAGGTATAGGTCAGGGTTATGGTCTTTTCCATTATTCCAACACAGAGTTAGATGAGGATTAAAAGAACATGCCATATTAAAACATTTTATGACTCAAAGGGTAACCACTTTTCCATATCCCTAAAGAAGAGAATAGAAAGTAAAAGTTCTAGAATAAAAACAGATTTCTCCAAACATTCTCTGGTCTCAATTGTGTTACCTGCAAAATTTGTTCTTTCTAGGATCAGCAGTGCTTGAAGGAATAGTTTTCTTTTGGTGGATACATTTGTTTTTTAATTTAATTTTATATTTTTAAATTTATTTTTACATCATTCTTCATTTTGTGCCTTTTTCCATCTCAGTTGTAATCCCCATGGACTTCTCTTGGTGGATACATTTGTTAATAGAGTTTGATCTAATCGCTTTAAAAGATCTGCCCACCGAAAGCAATTTATGACAGCTCTTCTAAACAGTTTTTATTCTGCCCTTTTCACTTCCCTTTTACCTAAAACAAAAGCCAAAAAAAATTCCTTCATCCAAAGTATCTTTGTAATGATGTAGAATATGAAGCCTTCAAATAAAATCAGAATCCAGTACTACTCATCATTTCCTATATGACTAACCCTTTGCTTTTCTTCAAACTCCCAGTTCCTCAGTTAACTGCCATCACAAGGATTATGAGTGAGGCTTGGGTCCTAGAAACTTGAGAGACATTGTTTCTCAGCATCTACAGAGCCCTAAGTAGTCACATGCAATTATGTGCATCACTTTCTCAGGAGACAGTTAGTAATGCTGTCTTTTTTACAAGGAAGGAAAGTGTAACACCATGAGGTTAGACGAATAAAGTGGTTTCAGAGGAAGTCAGAAGAAGATTAAAGGAAGGGAGGTCCCTACCCCACCCACCCCACCCCAAAGTACATCTGGTCATGTCTGGAGACATTTCTGATTGTCAAAATTATGGCTGGTGGGGGGTTGGTGACAGGTATCTAGTGGGTAGAGGGGCCAGAAGTACTGCTAAACATGTTACAAACAAAAGACAGCCCCCCACAAAGAACTTCCTGCTCAGAAGCCAAATCAAAAGTTAAAGAATGAGATGGAAACAATTCCGGGCATGCGGTACATTTTAATTATTTAAAAAATAAAAGAGATACGAGAGTTACAGGAGAAAAAATGAGGAAAGGTAACAAAATCTGACTCTTTTCCTTTTATGAGAAAGGTCTTTTCATGAGCAACCTCCAAGCTCTGAGCTGTGGTCTGTGTCAGGCAACTCGCCTGGACTCCCTGATCACTGTGTGCCTTGCAGTTGTTACCTTTCTGTGCTTTCCTTCTAAGCACATGCATCACTCCAGAGCAGTAATGATGTATGCTTATGGGAATCTCCAGAGATCTACAGCCCCTAATTGTCTATTTTGTTCTGTAAATTGTACTCATTAGTGAGCCACTTGAGCGCCAAAGGACATTAGCTTTTCTGGGTGCCCTCTGTCTACTCCTGGGCAATGGGACATCATCAGCAAGAGTTCTACAGTATTGAACCACACTGCTTAAGACAACCTACCACTTAGTTTTTCAGAGCATACCTTTTTTTTTTTTACCTCCTCTTTTTCTTTTCGCTCTGCTTACATTTGGACTAATTACAATATTCTGTTCGAGGAGCCTGGTTTTTTGTTTACACTCTAGAAGCCAGAAAGCTCAGAAAATGTATGATGTCCTTTCTACCTCCTCCTTTCCTGGACCCAACTGGACCCTGAAAAGGTCACATTAAACAATGAATTTCTCCTCCTGGCCTCAGAAGTCTTCAGTAAAACCAGCTTCGGTTATAAAGCTCACAATGCCCACATCCATGAAAACAGATGAGGAGTGAAAGGACATTGTGACTTCCAGTGTCACTAAGCAAAATAAAATAGAGTAGGTAGAACCACTTTCTTTGCTAGTGCTATTATGCAACAAACTGGGAATCATCTACTCTCTGGCAAGCTGCTTCCCCCGTGGATTAAGAAGTGCCTAATGAAAAGGTTAAGCAAAGTGATCGACAGAAGAGGAAGAACATGATGGGAGAGGGGAGTATAAGTGCGCAGAGTTAACAATACAATGAGTTTATAAGAAAAAGGCAACAAGCCCAGATGCATTCTCTAAAATGTTTTTCATGAAGGCCTGGTCACCCCTCCCATGTAAATGCTACCCCAAAGTCACTGAAAATTTCTGTGTTGAGATAATTCTAAGCACAGATCCCACCCTACTCCCCTGGTCATAATTTTCTCTTCAAAATTGTCCAATTGAATGTATCTGAATTACTAAAGGTATGGAGGACCCCTACTGCAATGACTCCAAGAGAGTGGTGTCGTAAAACCAGAAAAACAATGGCAGACAATGCCTTTGCCTTACCCTGGAGGAAAGGGTATGAGAGCCTTCAAACGCACTTACATCCTCAAGGCCCATCAGCTCTGCAGCTTTTCACCACTCACTCCTGCATGTCTGCCCCAGACCGATCAATCACCAACTGCCAAAGATGAAAAAAGATGAATGCATTAGGCCAAAGGATCCATAATGTCAAGTCCCACGCCACTGCTCAAGTGAATTTGTTAGAGCAGGCTAAGTGCTTAATATATAGACCTAACGTATATAATGTGTCAAGTTCAATTAGTTGATTTCTGTTTCAGGTCAGTCAGTGGGGTGGACCTCACTCATGCCAGTATCCCATGTAACAAAAGTGCCACCATCTTTAGAACAATTTCCAACCTTGCCCTAGGAATGATTTATATTCCAGCAGCTGAGTGGAAAGCAGCATGGAGAAATCCATATGGATGTTCTCTCCCCTTTTGTTTTTTCCTACAAGTGGATCACAACACATTCCAGTCTACTCAGATTCTACTGGCTAGAATTTTGTCATACAACCACACCTCTGTTTGTGGGCTACTGGGAAGTAAATAGTCAGTGTCTAACATACAGGGCAGACTTTGGCCTAACCAAGAAGCCAGTATTAAGAGTACAAAAGTCTGGGTAAGACACAGGAACAATAGCTTTATCTTAAAATATTTAATTCTGAACAACTCCAAGTCTTCTTTCCTGGTTTACTTACCTATACAATATTTTGGTTTCTTCACGGGGTCAAAGTGAGACAAAGCAGCACTTTCACATTTCTGAAGTCAAAAGTCTGCACATGCACAACATCTGGGCATCTTGATAAAATGCAGACTCCCACTCTACAGGTAGGTCGTAGGTGAGACCTGAGATCCTGCATTTCTAATAAGCTCCCAGATAACACCCATGCTGCTGTAGTCTGATCACAATTTTAAGTAGAACATAGAATCAGAGACTAAATAGTTAAATATTTATTTAAATATTTCATTTATTTATGTAAATCACAAGGTGATTTATAGCTATAAAGAATTATCCTGGCACAGACTAATTGATTACAAATGAATTTCAGTTAGTCAACACTTTTGGGTTATATTTAGTTTAGGTATGAGGATTTCATAGAGTCAAGGGTTTTGAAACTGCAAAAAATTTCAGTGGTCATTTGTTTTCTAATTTTCCAGATAAGAACAAAAACTTGAAGTTAATGATACTCCTAAAATCTTACAATAGCTTAGGAGTGTGCTGGGATAGAATGCAGTAATACATTTTCTATTAAAATGTAAACTTAATGAATAACTTGAAGAAAGAATAATTTTTACTCTTTTGCTAGAGCAATAACAAATAATTCTCTGGTCCATACCCATTCATGGGTCACCATATTAACCAAATGTAGACACTTTGATGCAGATGTAATGATCTCCAAAGTTGTATATCAAAAATGTGACCTGAATATAAGTTAACTTCTGTATACCTTCTAAAAACAATAATTTCTATTTTCAGTGTATACATACTCTAAGCCACTCCTACTTGGAGACAATTAGGAAAAAAAAAAAGAACTTGTTGCAAATAAAGGAAAATAAAACAATTAGCCAAGAAGAAGCAGTGGTTTCTGCGGTAAACCCAAGGAACATTAAGGAACCTCAAGTTTTTTTTTTTTTTTTTAAATTACTGATTAATTGTTTTGCATCTTTGATCATGGCAAATCTTAGGAACTTACAGCAGAACCTCAGAAGTGAAAAGGAACCAACAACTCTAGTCAGAAAGGTACTATCTAGCAATCAAATCATATTGAGGGAGAAGGGAGCCTTTTAGATATGCAAGTCATCTTCTATAAAGCAAGATGAATTTGAAAGTGTTTGGCTAATTTAGGAGGGAGTACTGATTGAACAAAAAATGATAAATGGAACTCAATATTTGAATATCCTTATTAGTTTAAGATGGGTGAAACTATTTGCACCCTTCAATTGATGAGCAATTTTTAAAAGGTAAAATGTTCTAAGATCTTAGATTGATTTACTTTCATACTCTACCCACAAACTCTCTTTTCCTCTTTTTTTTTCTACCTCATATTTCTCCCATTGTAGCAATTTTCTAGAATTTTTACCATTTTGTGGTTCACTTTGTCAGTGTGTTGAAGCCTGAAGGTGAACTCATTTTTAAGAATGCACTATACGTAGATGAAATATGTAAGATTACAAAAGAAGTCTATATTGGAAATACTGCTCAATTTAAACAGTCATCAAAGTCTATGATTGGAGAATGACTTTTCCAATATACTAAAAGCTTTTTATTATAGGACACAGTACACAAAAAAAGTTTTAGAACCCAAAGATATGTCATAAAAATCGTGGTCAGCTGCAGTCAGTGAAGAAAAAATAAGCTGTAAAGAGAAGCCTGTCCTTGAATTTCTACCCAAACTCAATGCTATTCATGCTGTGGCTTCAAAATCCTACATTAAGGAATTACTCAGAGAACTGTATTGGCTACAGCCCTTACTGGCACAGAATTTCTGCATCTTGATGGCAGGTGAAAAAAGACACCATTAGCGAAGGAAGACTGAGATGAGTCTGATCCTGGGCATTAATTTTCAGGCCACTACCTAGTTCTCCGCCACCAGCTAGCTTGGTGAGGTCACTCAATTCTGAATTGCAACTCCTGCCTATAAAAGAGAAGATTGAGTTAAGCCAACTCTAGGGTTACTTCCATCTCTGAATTATTAAGATTCTAAGACAATTCAAATGATTTCTCTGAGAAGACGTATTAGTGAGATTTTATTTTTTGCCTTACTTAGTCTCACAGTATGAAAATGCCTTCTACATGAGAATTCTTCAGAGACATTAGAAATACTTCATGAAACTCATAGTCATAGCATTTTAGACTTGGAAGGAATCTTAAGAGATGTGTGCTGCCTCACCAGAAAAATGAGGTCCAGAAAGGCAGAGATCTGAGGTCACATGACACTATATTAATAGACAGTTGTTCTGGCTATCTTGCACTAGCAGGATTGTAGGATTCAGCATTTGTAGTAAAAATCAGCTCATCAGTCCACTTGAAGAGAGATGGAAATAAACCTCAAATAAGCTTAGAGTTATAGGATGGAAACTGCACAAAGAAGCAGGTAATTGGGGTAGTGATGCCCAGAGGCAGCATTCTATACCCTGGACAGGATCCATGCTGAGGAAACAGCACCTTTCTCCATCAAATATCATGGCTACAAAATCTATCTCAAAGAAAAGTCAATAAATAACAAAGAATAATGAGTAATTATTGCAAAAGAGGGGAATGGATGAACTTCACTAATAAGGTGAACAAAACCAAAGCTCAGCATTTGGGTTGCTAACAGAATCTGAAAAGAGCATTAGCCAAGATAATCTATTTTGTGAGAATTTTCAAGAGTTAAAGGAATTTAAAGTTTTAAACAATCCAGAATATCTTCTGACCAACCTTCTGTGCATAACCCTGAAGTATAGTAGCTACTATACCATTGCTATTTTTACACTCTCACCACTATCTTTAGTGTATGTTGTGATTAGATATCAATTGGGTTAAGAGTCCCATGTATATTTTCATAGTTCTGAAAATAGGAGGTGATTATTTTTAATGCAAAGAATTAGAAACTATGAAGTTACTGGGACTTTTGATGAAGTCCCAATGGTATAGTAGCTACTATACTTCAGGGTTATGCACAGAAGGTCGGTCAAAAGATATTCTGGATTGTTTAAAACTTTAAATTCCTTTAAATCTTGAAAATTCTCACATTAACTAACATGTATGACAAGTGCTTTTAAAATCTGTACTACATGTAGTGTACCTCTACCTTCACCCTCAGCACACCAGCTAAGTAATCACACCCATTTCTCAATCTCCACAACATTCATTACTACCTTACCTAAGCAGTCTGGCTTCTTTCTGAGAATTGACTGTACACAGCCTTTCAAAATCTTCTAGAGTCTACACACTGCAGGTCTGCCAGATCGATAGTTCAATGCCTCCAGGAATTCCCAGGAACGGCAGTGCCATCTACTGGCAGAGAGGGCACAACTTTTTTTTTCCTGAATGCCTATGGGGTGACCTGAGCCAGGAGCTAAAAGAACTGAAGCCTAGATTTGTGTCTTTGTGATAATTTCTTTTCTAGGAGCATATTACAGCTATGACCTATGTTTATGCCCTGAGACATGGAACCTCCACAGGGGCCACTTTTAAACATTTTGTGGTCTTCTTTTCCCTCCAATGCTTCTGTATCAGATGATCTCAGCCAGGTCCCCATTTGTGGCAATGTTACCCAGCTCTGTCTTTACAGCACGAATCCTAAGGAAGGTGCTCAGACCCTGCTTAATGTGAACGCTCTTATATTTACACAGTGTGACACAGATCCTGCTCAAAGGACACACTGGCTTACGTATGCAGTTCGGACTCTAATCTCTCGTTTGCTCTCCATACTCCTTGGCCCAAGGGACAGAAATGACAGAAAGGAAATGATTTTGTTGTTGCTTTGAAAGCAATACTAGTGGGCTTTTATTGAATCAGAGAATAAAACCTTGTCCTGTAGGTCAGTGAGGTACATTCCTTCCCTCAAGATGAACTAAGCCTGCCGATCTTCCTCTTTTCCCTTGTGTAACCTAGTAAGTGCTTTTCAGCTTTTTCAAAGCCCCTGTCTCTTCCACAGGCTAAACATCACACCCTTAGTTTATATAACAAAAATGACCTCTTCCTCTCTAAACATAAAAGCATATAGCTTTTAAAACTACAGTACCTACCCCATCCTCAGAATCCCTCAATCAATGCCAGTACTAAACAGGACAAAAGAAATCACTGGCAAATTTTTTATTTATTCCCACTAATTTGCTTTATGTTCCAATTTATAAGATAATGATCTATATTTCACTTTATTAGGGCCACTTGTTATAGTCCTAACAAGCTCGTGGCAACTCTTCTTTTTCTTCAATTGCCTCAGAAAACCACCAAAGTTAATTTGCAGCAGCTGATAAACGTGCGTTCTGACCTTCTCCACCCCAAACTTCAGTGTTAACTCTTCAATTTGTTTAACTTGTCAGCTAAATTCATTTCTTAGCC